AGAAATAATTGAATTTCCAAGGAAAATGCAGAATCCAGAAATAGACCGTCTTGATGTATCTCAGAACCGGAAGAGCTGCCTCCCAATGTGGTTTTCTTGGTTCATGCATAAATTGGCTAAGCATACGAACTGAATAAGCTATGTCAGGCCTAGTGACAGTCAAATATATTAATCTGCCAATCAACCGTCTGTATTTACTTGGATCATTCAATTTCTCTCCTTCAGTTAAAGAAAGTTTCAGATTTTGCTCCATAGGAAATTTGTCTGGACGTGCTCGTGTAAGGCCTGTGTCTTGAAGGATGTCTAGAGCATACTTCCTTTGAGACATAAAAATTCCTTTTCTAGACCGAGAAAATTCAATGCCTAGAAAATATTTCAAATTTCCTAAATCTTTGATAAGAAATTTCTGGAGTAAACTAGTCTTGAGATATTGCATTTCTTTGAGATCATTGCCTGTCAACAGAATATCATCAACATAGATTAGAACTACAGTGAAAGAAGTACCTTTACTCTTGGTAAACAAAGAGTAGTCTGCTTTGGACTGAGTGTAGCCTGCATTTTGTATAGTTGTAGAAAATATGGAGAACCAATTGCGAGAAGCCTGTTTTAATCCATAAAGAGATTTATGGAGCCGACATACTGTATTCTCCCCCTGTCGGCAAAGACCTGGTGGTAAAGACATATAAACTTCCTCGTCTAGATTACCATGGAGAAAGGCATTTTGAACATCCAACTGATGGGTGAACCATTTTCGAGCAGCAGCAACAGTGAGTAAGCAACGAAGTGTAGTAAGTTTTGCTGTAGGGGAAAATGTTTCTGTGTAATCAATACCTTCAACCTGAGTGTATCCCTTTGCTACAAGTCGAGCTTTATAACGTTCAACAGAACCATCAGAGTTGTATTTAATTTTGTACACCCAGCGACAACCAATAGCTTTATGACCAGGTGGTAGAGGAACGAGAGACCATGTATGATTACGTTCCAAAGCTGCAATTTCATCATTCATAGCCTGCTGCCATAAAGGGTCGCCAACTGCCTCGTCATAGGTTTTAGGTTCTGTCTGGGATGTAATAAGAGCTAGAAAAGCACGTTGAGTAGGAGAAAAACGAGAGAATGAAAGGTAATGATGAAGGGGATACCTGGTGCCAGTGCCGGGACTTGAGCTAGAGGTTAAATGATTGGCTCCAGAAGACATCTCATAATCCTTATGCCAAGCTGGAGGCTGATTAGTGCGAGTAGAACGTCGGAGTGGAGCTGATGTATCAGGCGGGATAGGATTGGAATCAATGGGCAAATCTGGAGAAGGTGGAGGAGACGACGAAGTAGTAGGTGAAGGGATAGGAGGTGAAGGAGGAATGGAAGGTGGAGGATGGGTGCTTAAGTAGGATGGATCATGAAGTGGAACAACAGGAGTCGAAGGAGCTAATGTCGAAGTTTGTGAAGCTGATGAAAAAGGAAAATCATCTTCACAAAATTTAACATCACGGCTGATAAAGAATTTGTGAGATTGCATGTCATACAATTTGTAACCTTTATGACCACAAGGATATCCTACGAAAACACAAGGAATTGCCCGAGGTTCAAATTTTTGCTTAGGATGTACTATAGTTGCATAACATTTACAACCAAAAACTTTAAGATGATGAAATGTAGGTGATCGTTTGTAGAGTGCTTCAAAGGGTGTCTTGTTAGATAACACTGGTGATGGCGTTCTATTTATAAGATAAACAGCCGTTAAAACGCACTCTCCCCAAAAATTAAGTGGAACCTGTGACTGAAAAAGAAGAGACCTAGCTACATTTAGGATATGGCGATGCTTACGTTCTACGACTCCATTTTGTTGTGGAGTATAGACACAAGTGCGCTGAAATTCAATACCACAAGAAGTAAAGAATGGTTGCAAAGATAGGAACTCAGTCCCATTGTCTGATCGAACTATCTTGATAGTAGTATGAAATTGAGTTTGAATAAATTTAACAAAGTTCATTAACAAATGATGTACTTCTGACTTATGTTGCATTAGAAAAACCCAAGTACATCGAGTAAAATCATCAACAATAGTGAGAAAAAAACGCAAACCAGAATGGGTAGGAATTTTATGTGGTCCCCAAACATCACAATGTATCAGATCAAAGGCAGAATGGGTTGTTATTGAACTTCTTGGGAAAGACAACCTAGTTTGTTTTGCTAACGGGCAGATACTACAATTATGAGAATAACTCGCATTATTAAGATGCAATTGATCAGCTAGAAATTTAAAACGAGAAAAAGAAGGATGACCTAGACGTAAATGCCACAAATCAGATGACTGAGATACTTGATGAGCTGAAGATTTGATTGGAGATGAAGAAATATGATAGAGACCTCCAAATTGTTTACCCGAGCCAATCATCTTCCCCGTAGCCAAGTCCTGCATAACACAAGAATCAGGATAGAAGGTGACATAACATTTCAAGTGATTGGTAAGTTTGCTGATCGACATTAGGTTTAAATTGAATGAAGGCACACATAAAACGTTGTTTAACTTAAGGTTAGGGCTAAGGGAAATATTGCCAGTATGTGACACACGTGCTGTCTCTCCATTAGGCAAATTTATTGTAGACATGATGGCAGCCTTTGGATCAGTCATAACAGAAGATTTTGATACTATATGATCCGTAGCTCCACTATCGAGAATCCATGAATTAGAACTCGCAGAGTTAACAGATAATGTAGATATGGGAAACAAACCTGCAACATTGATGTGATTGTCAGAATTACCAGAAGGGTTTTGATTGATTGCAGATAAGGCTTGTGCTATCTGTCGTAATTGCTCAGAAGAAAAATTTGGAATGGAATTAGGTGACTGTTCTCCTGTATTCAACTGTGAAACATCGGCCATATTTGCAGATGATCAGTATCCACGATGATTGTGTTGATTGACTTGTCTTGTCCTTGTAGAATTATTTTTCTGTCGACACCGATCTTCTGTATGTCCCCTTTTATCACAAAACTTACAATGAAACTTAAGAATTCGACACTCATTGATTGTATGACCACTTTTATTGCAGTGTTCACATGATTTGTCCTTGGCGAATTTTGAATATTTTGTTTTCTTCTGCACTGCTGATGCAATCGAGAAATTCTCAGCAGGTTCAAAAGTTACCTGTCGCTGCATCTCTTCTTGTACAAGTAATGAATAAGCTTGCCTCACATTAGGTAATGGAGACATCATCAATATGTTAGATCTCACCGTTTTATAAGACTCGTTGAGCCCCATGAGCAATTGCATCAACTTGTCTTCTTCGCGTTGATCAATATGTATTTGACGTTGATTACACGTAAATGGTGTGCGGTACGCTTCCAGTTCATCCCAGAGTGCTTTGAGCTTGGTGAAATATGTTGACAGTGCCATGGTTCCTTGTGACATCGTTGCTATCGAGTTTTGTATTTGAAAAATTGCTGGAGCATTCTTTTGTGAGAATTGATCGCGAAGATCAACCCACACTTGATGAGCTGTCTTGGCGTGAACAATGCCTTTAGCGATATCTGCTTCAACAGAATGAGTTAACCAAGATATTATCATACTGTTGCACTGATTCCAGAGTTCGAATTCGGTTGAATTTGCATCTTGGGGCGGTTCCTCAATTGTGCCATCAATGAAGCCAATTTTCTTCTTGGCAATAAGAGCATGCATAACTGATTTACTCCAAGATTGGTAATTTGCTCCATTTAATTTGATTGGAACAAGTGAATATCCTGGCTGATCAGAGTGATGCATATAGTAAGGATGTGTTAAATCAACATCCGAAATTTTGAAGCTGGATTTGGCTGAGCCCGCCATGAAGGAAATTTTGATATTTACGATCGATGCTCTGATACCATGTTAAGAAATAGAAATAGAAAATAGAACTGGAAAAGTGTATGATCTTCATTCAGGTTTACCACGTTTAAATAGATACAAACTATTAACTAATACCTAAAAATAGAAAAAAAATAATATATCTAACTAAATCTTGTAAATAAATAAAATATACGATTAATCAAATTTATACTAACAACTCCCTAAATATCTCAATATAATCTAACTAATATATCTCCAAAATATCCTCTCAATAATTTTGAATTTCTGCGTAATTCTTTGATTCATTAAATTCAACAAAATTTCCCAATCCTTTGTGGTTTAGTTCATCAAATAGTCCAAAACTCGAAGCTTTTAGATCCTTCCCCTTTGTGAAAACTAGATTATGAGCAGGTTTGTGAGACTGGATATGATCAACTGTTAAGAGCTTATAAAGCTCCATCGTTTTCTACTTGTAATTCTATTTGACACTATGCGTAGTGTTCATGATAATTTCTCCTTCATTAATCCTTTAAAGATAGGTTTTTAGTGATAAAACATGATTTAGCAATCATTAGTAACATCTAATCGAATGTCTAATAGAAAGATACAACAAAATTTTACTAAATTGATTTAAATTAGATCATTATAAATTTGCAATTCAACCTATCCGCTTTAGAAATAAAAGAGTTGCTCCCCATTTTGTCCGTAGAGAAGGGGGAGTAACTTTGAAATTCAAAAACTCTTAAAAAATCAAGGTCGAGCTCTCACAAAAAGACGAAATCACTTGAATATCTCTTGAATATCTGAAAAACTTTGAAGATGTTTGTTCGTCAAGAAAATGACCAAGCCGGCTAAGAATATCACCAAACTAAAGCTCACTCGAGAATTTTTGAAGCCTCATTTGGCTAATTAAGGAAAAGATCGTAGATATATAAATAAGTGGTACTATCTTTATTGTTATAAGACATTTTGAGAAAATAAAATAAAAAATAAAGTTACGAGAGCTTGAGCTATAATGATAATAATACGTCGTTTTAGCCTTTCAAAAGTGAATGATTAAAAAAAAACAAGGGAAAATATCATGTGGAGACCTCTTGAAATTTGATTGGGGATCTGATGGCCCTTATTGGTTGCCCTAGGTCGTAGTGTAGGACGCGGAGCACTGGATTCCTGGTCGCCGGGAAACTCCTCAGCTAACCTTTCACGGTGCTCACCACAGTTAGATTCATACTCACTGAACGTCTCTCTCTCTCTCTCTCTCTCTCTTTTCTCTCTCTGTGGCGAGCTTGCTCTCCATGGATCTATGATCTGCGATCATTTGTCACAGATTGAGGATGGCTAATTTCCTTGCTCAGTTCCAGACGATCAAGAATTCCTTCGACCGCCTCGTAATTGCAGGTGAATCTCAATATCCCCTCCATCCTGCTTCCAAATTTCAGTTTGATTATGAAGTTCTTTAATCCGGTTTATCTACACTAAGGGATTTGAACTAGAATTGAGTATGGACTTGCTTGATGCGCGATCCCAATAGGAGGTTAGCTTCAGAATTGATAGTAGATGCTTGCTTTAGTGTATTATAAATAACACATTCTCAAATTTCCAGCTGTGAATTCATGGCTTTGCGATTCATAAGCTTGTATTGTATCTAATGTGCTTAATTACTTTACAACAAATTTTGTATGACATTGAGGACCTTGCTTGAGAACTCACACTTTCGTTTTGTTTTCTTCCATTTTTTTTGTTCTAAGATAAAAATCATTTCCAGATTGGTATTGGGAAGTGCTTAGAAGTTCTTATCTCTACGCTTATTGCGTGAATTTTTGCCTGTCCTCCACTTGGTTGCTGGCAATTTGTGTTTGAACGGTAGTTGTACCCTTGAGTTCTCTTTTCGGAAGATCTGTATCCTAATCATTCTGCAATGTCTTTATAACAGTGAAATAAATAGATACTCTGACACCCCCCCTGTTCTTGCTCTATGTTCTTAGCTAATCTTATCACATTTGATTATTACTTTCAGTTGAAGATGTCAGTGACCTGTGGCCTACTGTGAAGAATGGATTCGAGGAGAGATTACCGTTCAAAAGAGCTTGTTTGAATAACAAGACACGTAACCCCATTGTAGTCGACAAGTTGCCTGCTGAGTTCATATTGACTACAGATGCAAGGCTCCGTAGTAGGTTCCCTCAAGAGCAGTATTTATTTTGGTTTCGTGAACCTTATGCAACTGTTGTTCTGGTCACCTGTGAGGTAACTGAAGGTTTCATTGTTCTTAATCTCATTTATATGGTATTGGAAAATAACTAACTTGGACAGATTTTTTAGTTTATTAATATAAAGTTGAAATTATTAAGGTTCCTAAAATAGTTTGAGATTACTACCGTATTTGACAAGTGATGATGCTCCTGTTCATTTTTTCATACTTTCACTAATACTAAACTTAAAATTTTATTTTCATTTGGTTTAGGATCTTGATGAGTTTAAGACTATCCTTAAACCACGCTTGAAGCTAATTGTCCAAAATGATGAGCGGGAATGGTTCATTGTATTTGTATCTAAAGCTCACCCAAATAACGATCAAGCCACCAAGCAGGCAAAAAGAGTGTATAGCAAAGTTGAAGTTGAATTTAGCTCGAAAAAAAGAGAAAGGTAAACCTGGTACTTCTATATTTTTTCACTAGTATATTTTCTATTACTCACAGGTTCCTGTATTCACCTGTTTATTGAAAGGTCAATTAGATATAAAGTTAGTACATCTTTGGCTGACTTTATGTATAGATAGTAGCACTTTGGAAACCTTTTAGCTTTTAATTTATACCTGACTTGGCCACATGTAGTTTTAGTCACAAATTTATCTTACTATATCATTGCATAGTCTACGGCCTCAACCAATTCAAGCATGCCGTCTCTTTAGATTTTACCAATTTTTTTTTAATGTCATTAGTATTTTCCATGTTGTTATGAAATATTCACCACCTTATGAGTTATGCGTTTATTACCGGACCTCAAAGATGAAATGAAAATGATAATGCATTGGAGAAGTTGGAGATTTATAGATCACAATTGAAGGTTAAAGCATCTTGGTGAGCACGTTTTTATGCTTCTGTCAGGTGTTGTAAATTAGACCTACATCGCCCTGAAGCAAATTTTTGGGAGGATCTGGAGTCCAAGATAATGGAGTCCATGAGAAATACCCTGGATAGGCGTGTCCAGTTTTATGAAGATGAGATTCGCAAGCTAAGTGAACAACGCTTGATGCCAGTTTGGAACTTCTGCAATTTCTTTATTTTGAAGGTTTGTCATTTACCCATATGCATGCACATGGAGGTTCCTGGATGGTGCTTTTGTTATTACAATTGTATTTGACTTTAGGGCACCTTAATGGTCCCTTAATATAAGTAAGGAATGTTTTTCTTTAGTAACTGAAATTTCCATTTTATTAAACCCACATCATCTCATTCATTCTCAGCAATTGTCACCTTCCTCTCATACAAACCTTTTGGATCTGTTAACGCTTTATTGTATCCCAGGAAAGCTTGGCATTTATGTTTGAGATGGCTCAGCTTCATGAAGATGCATTACGAGAGTATGATGAACTAGAGCTCTGCTATTTAGAAACAGGTGTCATGCATTTTTATTGTATGATTATGTCTATTTTCCTTTTCTTCCCATGTACAGAAACTTTCCTCATTTTTGGTTTTTGCATGATATTCAAATGCATGATACTCTCCTTTCAGAAAAAGAAAAAAAGAAAAAGTATAATACTCATCCCTTACTGATGAATGCATCCCCTTGCCTCTTGATACCATCTCTTTTTGCCAAGTATGTCTCGGCTCTGTCTAAGGCAGCCCTTTTTTAGTTCCTTTCCTTTTAATACAAGTATTGTTTTCTACTCACCCATGCACGCATGTGCGTACTCCGTTTCCTTGGCAGTGATAATCTAATTCAGAAAATGGCTGTACTTGTATTGGTTTCCATTTCTCCAGTCAAAGAAAATTGCTGTATTTGCACTTGATTATGACAATGTTTATTTGTGGTTAGTGATATAATCTAATTGAATTGTGTAGTGAGCGTGACCACGAAGAAGAGAGATTTTGGTGGAATTGACCATGGTGACGACCAAGCAACGTTGCTTGATCCTGGGAGTAAGCCATTGACACAGATTGTTCAAGATGACTCATTTCGAGAATTTGAATTTAGACAATATCTTTTTGCCTGTCAAACAAAGGTGCGCATAACTGGGATTATTGTTACTGATTAAGAGCTCAGTTGCATTTAAATAGACCATTCATAGTTCTTTGGTCTAAGTTGCCTGCAAGTTTGTTCCTGTGCTTTGACAATTCTTCTTAATCTTAATTGGCTGCTTAAAATTTTCATTTATCAATAAATGTGCATCTCTTTTTTAAAAAAAACTAAAATAATTGGCTGCTTGGATGTATTCTGTAGATGGTGAAGGTGAGTTGTTCAAGTTGGAAAACCACTGGTCTCTATAGAAAGTACGCATGCTTTGATGAGATAATGATGTTGGCTAGCTAATTCTATCTCTTACATTTTTATCATGCTTAGATTTTATCATTTACTGTTTTGAGTGATTATTCAGATAGTTGCTGAAGTGTAGTGGATGGATTGCTTGTTATTATTATTATTATTAGTTCAAACAAATGGGTGGGGCACGGATTTAAACCTTTTAACCTTTCAAGAAAGTCACTAGTACCTTAGTCCATTGAGATTTACTTAGGTCCATCGCTAGTTGCAACTTGTTCATTTGTTTGCCAGCCATGTAGAAAAATCTAACCTCGATGTATAACTATTGAAGGAAAATGATAATCAAGAAGTATTTGGATTTAATTTAAGATATGAAAAAAGAACTTCACCATACAATGTTGAGTACTTTTGTCTTGTAACAATCTTGAATGTGAGCGGAATGGAAAAAATTTCAGGGACTGTTCTTCCAATTTTAATGGTTTCTTGGATTTGGTTGTTTTTAATACTCTTTATTTGTTTAGATATAAACATCACTTTAGGAACTATAATCTTTCTTTTGTTTCAAATATGAGATCTTTCATGTAATTCACCTTTTGGTGTTTGGGAGCTTTTAACTCCCTTTATTTTATTCATCACTCAAATTGTTTATCCTCTCAAAAAAGGAGAATGTGTTATTAGATTTATTTTTTGATCATTGATTGAGAAATCTCCTTCTCATGCGCACATACACATTTAAACACTTGCACAAGTCAGTTCAAGCAAAATCTTGTTAGAGTATTGATATAATTAAATTTACTTGTAATCCATCAACTTAAACTTTTTGGTTGATTGGTAATTTGATTTGGTATCAGAGGAAAAGCTCTCGTGTTCAAACCCTTGTAATTTAATTTTTCCCAAATTAAGAATGATTTATGCTTGTTGGGCCTTCTAGAAATTTTTAAGTCCACAAATGAGGGGAATTTTAGAGTATTTATATAATTAAATTTACTAGAATCTATGTTTTTAAGCTTTTGGGATGATTGGTGATTTAACGTATTTGTATAATACTGTTATTGTTGTCAGTTGGATGGTAACACTTGCTTGACACTTACAAATCAAATTACTATATGCTACATGAAATCTTCACTCAAATAAGAGTTCGCATATGCATTTTTATAGCTATGTTATTTTATCTATCACTAATTCTACTTTTGGTCGCTCTTCATTGAATCTTTAGGTTGTTTTAAAGGAAATTGTTTTTCAGATTTGAACTGTTTCTCACCTACATATATGTTTATTTCCAGCTATTATTCAAGCTGAATCGACCCTTTGAAGTTGCTTCGAGAGGTTATACATTCATAATTGCCTTCTCAAAGGCACTGTCTATACATGAGGTGTTTGTTATTTATATATTTTTTTTCTTCCATTGTATCATAAGAAATATTCTCTATGTATCTAGTTAGAGATGCTAAATGAGATCTCTTTTCCGTTTTTATTTTTATTCCATGTTTTTCATTTAACCTTTTTCCTCTTTCTCAAATTCCTCTCAGAACATATTACCTTTCTGTATGCGTGAAGTTTGGGTAACAACTGCTTGCTTGGCTTTAATCAGTGCAATTGCTTCACATTATAGTGAAGGCATCATGACTCCAGACACAGAAAAGGAGTTCTTCCGCTTACAGGGTGACCTTTATTCATTATGCAGAGTGAAGGTATAATTTCTTCTTTGTCTGAGAAATAGAATGTTTGACTTTCTTATATCTTTCTGATTTGTATCATCCGTTTTAGTTTGTAATAGTTCACGGATCAAGCTGTGATGTTTCATCTTTGTTTTATCACCATCTAAGAAGTGTGAGCATTACTATTGCTTCTCTTCTTTTCTTAAGTTAAAAGTCTTTTTTCCCAATCCTTTTCTTCTACCTCATGTCTGCCATCATTGAATGCATTTCAAACATTGTTATTGTCTTAATTATTGATCAATGTGTTAAGAACATTCATATTTGAAAAAGATCAAATATTTCATTGATCTAGTAAAACCGATTGTTTCAAAATAGTTAACGATTCTCTCGGAAGTTCTAAGACTATAAATGAGAATTTGTGCATATTTTATTATTCGAACATGTGGTAGACCTAAAAGCGTCATATGATTTTGGCAGTTCATGAGGCTCGCAGAGTTAATTGGATATGGTTCATATATAGAGAGAAGTCCAGTCAACAGGTGCCAGATTCATTATTGACTTCTAAGATCAATGTTCAGTTGCCTAATTATAGCAGATTGACTGTGTAAATTGAAATCACTTTCCTCACAGTTTTCTCGGTCATGTTTCGGCCGGACAAAATCTTTTCAGCATCTTATATTCAATCAATTTCTATTTTTATAACTCAACTTCTTATGAGCAGTGCTTGGCTGAGCATGCTACCATGGCCCAAGCCATCAGTTTGGCCTTCGGTTCCACCTGATGCTTCATCTGAAGTGTTGGCAAAGGAAAAGGTAAGTTGTGAATATATGGCATGGTAAAACTGCTGATGTTTGTGAGTGTCTTCATGTATTGAAAGTGTTGCTCTGTTTTTAACTGATTGACCAAACGTTGGGGAAAACAAATGACTAGACTCTAGCCTTTAATTTAATTTCAAAGAAGACATTTTTTCAAAGTTACCTGCATGGAAGTCTTTACATGTTGTCTAATCTCTCAGTGATGAGAATCGACTATATGACTAGTAAAGTTTCAGATTGATTGAATGTTAGTATCAAACGCTATGTATTTTCAATCATCTCTTTAGTACTCGAGGTTCTAACCCCAAAATATTTTCTCTGCAGAAAAAGTTTGTTTAACTATAAGTAACTGATGTAATCATCTGGTTTGCGGGGAAGAGATAGGCTAAGCACTTTTCATTAAAAGCTTATAATTGCGACCATGCAATTGTTTCCTCTGTTTGATAACGTGTAGTTCATTTCGTGGTTTCTCTTGGTTGATAACTGTTGAGGCTATGTCAATCTTTATTTAAGTACTTGTCTCTATTATATTTTATACTATATAAAAAATGTAAATTTTTTGTGTAGATTATTCTTCAAGAAACTCCACGAGTCAAGCACTTTGGTATTCAAAAGAAACAACTGCCTCTAGAACCTTCTTTGCTTTTGCGAGAAGCAAATCGTCGGAGAGCTTCTCTTTCTGTGGGAAATACATTTGAAACGTATGATCGTCCAACTTTTATTGATGGGTAATATAATATAGAAGATTGTATATTTAGAAGCACATCCTTTGTCATTTCTCTCTCCTATTGTGGATCATTTCTTATTCATATTTATCTACTTATTTTTAATGTTTATATTGGCAGATCAGGTCCAGATGTGCCATCAAAGATGTCCCCTAATAAAACACATGGGAGCTCCATGTCACGTACTTACTCTTCCCCAGGATTTGAAAACACAATTGATCCACCTATGAGACTTGCTGAGATTTATGTTGCTGCGGAACATGCTTTGAAGCAAACAATCACTAGTTCTGAGCTATGGCAGAGCTTATCAGCTGTGGAGGAATTTGAGGTAAAAAAACAGGCAGCAATACCTACAAAAGGCTACCATACTTGTATTGATGCACATCGTGCACTATGCTTTACACTTTTATTAGACTTTTCTTTTTCCAAGTCGTGAGTTGCAAAGGCATTGCATCATCAGAAATATGCAAGTAATGCTGTCAACTTCTTGTAATATGGCATATTTTGCATATAGTTTTTTTACTTCTACATTCTGATTCAAATGTAATATTATTAACTAAACCAATCTTTTTGCGTGGAAACTTTCAAATGTATATTTCAATGAATGTGTTTGTGTCCTAGTGTTTATTAGAAAATATGGTTTCTGTCAGCATTATGTTCTTTAGGGAACAAATATAAATTGAGTGTATCATAATGGCTATTTGAAACCTCTTTAACTCAGCATTTCAAAGTTCATAAGTTGTTTATGCTTAAGGATATATCCATCTCAGGGTTTCATTATGGCTCTGTTTTCTTTGCTACTAAATAGAATTTGATCTCTTGGTCGTTGAATCTGTGGCCATGATCTCCCTGTATTTATGTAGGGGTTGCATTTTCCAATTTTCATCAAGTCTGTTTTTGTGCTTTCAGAAAAAGTATCTGGAGCTAACTAAGGGTGCTGCGGAAAATTATTATCGGTCCTGGTGGAAAAGACATGGAGTTGTTCTTGATGGTGAAATAGCTGCTGTCAGCTTTAGACATGGTAACTTCGATGTGGCAGCAAAGTCGTACGAGAAGGTTTGTGCCCTTTTTTCTGGTGAAGGATGGCAGGATCTATTGGCTGAAGTTCTTCCAAATTTGGCAGAATGTCAAAAGAAACTTAATGACGATGCTGGCTACCTCTCATCTTGTGTGAGATTGCTATCATTAGATAAAGGCTTATTTTTGACAAAAGATCGCCAAGCTTTTCAATCAGAAGTGGTACGCCTTGCACACAGTGAGATGAAGGACCCTGTACCCCTGGATGTTTCATCATTAATTACATTTTCTGGAAATCCCGGACCCCCCCTAGAATTATGCGATGGTGATCCTGGAACTCTGTCTATTACTGTTTGGAGTGGCTTTCCTGATGATATAACTCTTGATTCATTGAGCCTTACCTTGATGGCCACATACAGTGCGGACGAAGGTGTTAAGGTATGCTTGTTTAATACTTGCTTATCAACATATCATTGAGATTCATTTGGCATCAACCTTTGGAGTAACTCATCTTTCTGACCTGGTATTTCAGCCGATAAGGAGCTCCACGGAAACTGTGCTACAACCTGGTCGTAATATTATTACCCTTGCTTTGCCTCCTCAGAAACCAGGTTCTTATGTTTTAGGGGTTATTACTGGCCAGATTGGGAAGCTGAGATTCCGATCTCATAGTTTTTCCAAGGGTGATCCTGCTGACAGCGATGATTTTATGAGTTATGAGAAACCAACTAGACCTATCTTGAAGGTAATGAATGTCAAGTTATGCTTAGAAGATGACCAATCTAATTTATAATTTAATTGCAGTTTTCCCCTTTAAAGTTACGTATTAGGGATTTTCCATTGGAGGGAGAACTTGTCTTTGTTTATCTGCTCCTACTTCGGTTTTTCTAATTTAATTTCCATGCATTCATCTTTTGTGAACTCTCCACGCTTGATCTTTATCATATATGTGAGTAAGTTTTTGTAAGTTATCCGGCAGTAACCTCTAGTATTTTCCTTTTATAGGGAAAGTGACTAGAGTATACTTTCTTTGTCCCCCCACTATGGTGTATATAACATTTGAACATTGAAAGCTCTTTGTTTTATTTTTTAGGTTTTCAAACCAAGGCCATTAGTTGATCTTATAGCTGCGATTTCATCCCCTCTACTCGTAAATGAACCTCAGTGGGTTGGAATCATTGTTCGGCCCATCAATTACTCCCTTAAAGGAGCAATCTTACATGTTGATACTGGTCCCGGTTTGAAGATTGTAGAATCTCGTGAAATTGAGATGGAGACCTATGTTGACTTGAAAAGTTCAGTTGACATGGCACACACCGTTGATACTAAGAATTTTGAACGATTGTGCCTCAGTGATGGTAGAATTGAGTTCCCAGATTGGGCAAGTAATGAGACATCTATTTTGTGGATACCAATTCATGCTATCAATGAGAGGCTTGCAAGAGGAACAACCACAGGTTATAAATGAATAGATGATGCAAAAATTATGTGCCACTGAAAATTTCATAGATTTTGTGATTAGGCTTCCAAGTATATGATATTTTGTCTTTTATGTGCAGTCGCTTCTCAGAGACAGAGTATTGTGGATGGAATGAGAACAATAGCACTGAAAATCGAATTTGGAGCTTTTCACAACCAGACGTTTGAGAAGTATATTTATGTGCCAGTTTACAATTCCAGAATCCTCCATCTTGTTGTTTGAATTTTTACTTTCTTTTTATATGTTTCTTATCTATTACGACCATGCTTTATACCCAGGACTCTAGCTGTGCATTTCACTGACCCTTTTCATGTGAGCACACGCATTGCTGATAAATGCAACGATGGGAATTTGCTTCTACAGGTACTGTGTTCCCTTTTTGAGCTTACAATTTTGCACTTACTTTTTTTTTATGTCGGATGCAAGTTTATTGAGAACAAATCATTTTTGGTTCAGTTGGGCGTGATCGGTTTCAAGCCGTAGGTCCAAACTCGTTTTGGATTTGGGACCTAAACAAAGTCTAGAAGGTTATATAACACCAATGTCCATCACTAGGTCCACTTAAACTGAAAATTTTGACCAAAAAGTTCCTAGGGATGGCTAGGGAGGGTACATCTAACAAGGTTACTCCGGGAAGATGTTGGATGGAAACCAATTTCCTGAGATCCCCAGACTGTATGGGTTGGCTTGAAGTAAAATGTGTTCCGAAGGAAAAATAATTTTGGTTTTAAAGTCAGTGATCTGATAAGCGTGCCTAAGGATTTTCTGTGCTCCTAATTATTTTATGTTACTAAGAGCCGCTTACTATTTTGAGAAAACAGCATCTTTCTTCCATGGTTGATTCGAACTTTTAATCTCCTGCTTAGAAATGTCAACTCCAACTTAAAAGATTGTAAACATCTTTATTATCAACCCCCCCCCAAAAAAGAAAAAAGCTATCCCACCCATTTACAACTTCATGAGCACAAGAATTGAATAGGATTTATAATCAACTATTATTATTCACAAAGGCTGCTTTGGAATCTGGGATCTTATGAAATTTGAGGGAAAAACATTTTTCAGTCTTTGCCTAATTTTTATCAAGGATCTTATGAATCAGATTTAGTGATCTAATATCCATAACTTTAACCAGATTTTCCTCCTTACGATTTATGAGTTTTTCTGCCATGATCTAAATTCTGTATGACCGTATGTTGTGTTGCTCAATGTTACTTTCAGGTGATTATACATTCTGAAGTTCAGGCTACTTTGACAGTATACGACGCTTGGCTTGATCTTCAGGATGGGTTTGTTCATACTGGAAATGACGATGGAAGACCATTGTCGGGCTACTTCCCATTAGTTATTTCCCCATCTTCTAGAGCAGGAATCCTCTTCAGTATACGTTTGGGTAAAACAAATTATGAAGGTAAAGACGACTAATAATAATTTGATTAGTGATAGTTGATATCTAGGCATCTGAAATAAGGAAGAATTGTGTTGTTTTAATTAATACCCTCACGCCATATATCTAGACACCAAAAATATCAGTCACACACGCATTCCACGATAGTGCCAATTAATTTTTAGTTTGTAAGAATTAGAAATGCGTGAAGTCGTAAACTCCATAATTAATCTTCACTTGCAGATGAAGATGCAGTGACAAGTCCTGAAAGCATATTAAATATTAGATATGGGATCTCTGGGGATAGAACGCTTGGGGCACACCCGCCTGTTGCTATAGAATTAACTGGAACTGAAGATGCTAAACAGGACTTGCTGTTCAAGAGCGCTCTAGTTTTGCAAAGGCCAGTACTTGATCCTTGCCTGGCTGTTGGATTTCTTCCTCTTCCTTCCGACGGCCTAAGAGTCGGACAGCTTATTACAATGAAATGGAGGATTGAAAGGCTAAATACTTTACCAGAGAATGAGAATTCCAAATGCAATGTAAGTCATGGAATTATCCTCAACTCCATGGATAAAGTTGAGTGTTATGAAAACAAGTTCTTGCATTGACGCTGTTTTCTGATTTTTAAATCCATGATTGTTGGAAAACTTATGAGAAAATGCCTTAAATCCATGTATTTCTGTTTCAATGATGCCATGTGACGTTCATTGCTTTTGCAGCTTGATGATGTGTTGTACGAAATCGATGCTAAGTCTGAAAATTGGATGATTGCCGGTAGGAAAAGAGGATATGTTTCACTCTCTCCCAAACAAGGTTTGTTTACCCTTTTTATCACACAAGAAACTGATAGTGATAGGTGACTTAGAGCTTATCAGAAGAAAGAGATCATTAAGTTCTAATTCTGCTCTGTCATTTTGATATGCTTTTCCAATGACAGGGTCAAGAATGGTGATCTCAATACTATGCATGCCACTGGTGGCTGGTTACGTTCGCCCACCTAAACTCGGTTTGCCAAATATCGACGAGGCGAACATAAGTTTCAATCCTGCTGCTCCACACCTGGTTTGTGTTTTACCACCAGCGCTCAGTTCTTCATTCTTTATTCCAGCGTGATTGTTCTTGGCACGTGTTTTATTGTCTTCGTAGGTGGTAATAGTTATCCACTCCGAAATCTCGAAAAAGTATTCCTTTCTATCGTAAATTAGATTTGTAAAGATTCAAACTAGGTGTTACTCTTGAATCTCTTTCCTCCCTCCCTCCCTTAGGTCAAACGTTTTTGGTCATCCAATGAGTTTGATTCTTGCGGGTTAGTTACTTTGGTAGTTTTAGCAGTTAAAGTTCGACAAGCCTCGCCAATGTACAGAACGTCTTAGTGTAACGACGCATCCTACGAATATAGAGTCCAATTACAGAAACATCTTTTTTAGAAAAGAAATGTGAATTTGTGTTTGTTTATGGGTGGTTCATTGGAGCAAGCTCAAATTCTCACTGGACTAATTTTGCCTTATATTATGTGAGTGTACAGTGCATTTATACTTTTGATACGCCTTGTAGTCTGTTGATAACCATATAGTTTTAGTTATTCGTTACAGATTTATAAGATATTTGCATGAAAATTAAACTATATAATATATACTAAAGTTTTTCCAAAAAAGAAAATTGTAGTTTTCTTGCATGTTGTCCTCCCATAATGTCTTTTTTTTTTTTTCAGGTTTATTTTGTAATTTTTATAAATAATCTAAAAACATGTTTAGATTTTTTTAAAAAAAATTGTTTTGCAATAATTTAATAGGTCAAACCTATTTTCCAAAGTAGATTTGTGTATATATTAATTGAAAATATAGGGTTGTGCACACAATTTATTTCTCTTTTCACCCACCCCTAATAAGTATTAAAAATAAAACGTTAAATTATAAATTTGGCTATCATAATTTGAAAAAAAGGCTAGAATTTAGTCCATACTTTTAGTTTAATACAATTTTATTTTTATAAAAAAAAAAAATTACGAACCATAGAGTATTTATTGTTTCTCAAAATGGACCAAATTTATATGGAAAAAAAAATAATGGGTAGCTTCAAACCCTTCATCTTTGGATTTTCATGTTATTAATTACATTAAAATATAGTAACCAAAATAAAATAGGGTGGAAAATTAAAAATATAGAAAACAAAATATAGTAACCAAAATAAAATAGAGGAAAAATAAGAAAAGAAGAGGTCCTACCGAGATTTGAACTCGGGTTACTGGATTCAGAGTCCAATGTCCTAACCACTAGACCATAGGACCTTTTTGTTTTGAGATTTTATATTTTATTATAAATTTATAAAATAAGTCAATGAATATTTATTTATTTTTAATGAAAAAACAAAGATGAGTATTTACAATAAGTGTCTTACTTATTTTCCCTACTAGTCTTCAAACAAAATATTCGATTTAAAAAGTTACTCGATTTGATCATCTTTTAAGTTAATTTAATAAGAACGAAAAAGTTAAAACACCAACCTAAAAGATAGGTTTAAATTTGATACATTGCATTTCTAACCAAAAAAAAAAAGAAAAAAAAAAGTTTTTTTTTCTATTGTAAGTCAAAGAAAGTAACAATAAGAAGTGCAAAGGAAAACAAAAGTTTAGAAGGTTAAATCAATAGGGATGTTATCTCCGAACATTAAATGCCAAAACAGGTGTTATGAACCACCAATAGAATTAATGTAATGCTCCAATTATATCGAGGATGTTTGAGAATGTCGGGACTATCAAATATTAAACACAAATTTCATGTCTTATTTAAATTATAATGTTATAATTAACATTTTTATTCAAAAATCATAGAATCCAAATTTGAGTGGATCATTTTGTTCCCTCCCATTTCCTAAAAGAAAACGAAAACAAGAATAAAGTTACCTACTCTAAATATTATCTCCCTAAATTTTAAAATTAAAAAAAAGTGTACAATAAATTTAATTAATTTTATTTTTTGGTAAGTTGGTGAAGTTTAGAAAATATTTGATAAAATTCTAAATTTTATTTTTATGCTTTTATTATATATATTATTTTTTTTATAGCTAATAAAATTTTAAACTAAAAATGAAAATACAATATTATTTTTTTAAAATAATAAAAATGTATATTAAACCTTTGTGTTTAAAAATTTACATGCTCCAATTCTTAGAAATTTCCCTTATAATTCCTAAATTTATTATTCTCATATGGAAATAAAAAATAAATAAATTTCGTATTATCTTCACTTATTATTTTTATTATTAAAAAAAAAAAGAAGAAAAAGAAGAAAATCAATAATATATGGATAGAAATTAAATTAAATTAAATGGCCCCACTCATTTCCCACCAATATATACTTCCCCATTAAAATTATAGGATAGTGATTTTACAATATCCCCAACTCTCCCTCACATTTATTATAAATAAATAAATATAGATATTTATTTATTTATTTATTTATTTATTTATTTATTTATTTATTTCTATAAATATCAACTTCTTTCCACCTATATTCCCTTCCTATCTTTATTTATGCTTTACATTTTAGTTGTGTTTAATTCACCACTTACTTCACCCTTTTTTTTTTCTCTTAAATATCAATGCCCGAATCGATTTAATTTAATAATTCAGTCAATTTGTAACAATTTAATTTTTATTAAAAAAAAAACTGTTGAAAACTCCATGGAAAATAAAAAATCATATAATTAAATTTTATTTCAATGTATATATATACACATATATGTATATATTCATTGAACCATCTGGGTCTGCTTCGCCTACCCAAATTACTGCATCCTATTTCATTATTTTTTTTTATAATTAAAACTCTAATTAACAAAAGCTGACGAGGGCAACAAGTCACTGCCACATCAGCATCTCCAGTCCAGTCGGACCTCTCCGGACCCCACAAAGTGATGACGTGGCTTGGTAAATGATACAATGTGGCTGCTGACCATAAACGCCGTTACACCCTCTGAGACGCTTATATCTTCCATCTTCAATTCTTGCAACCTCCGCACGTACTCCGGAACGTGCAGTAGGTCCCACACCACCCCGGTCCCACCTGGCTTCAACACCCTCACCAATTCTCCGACAACTCGCATCCGCTCTGCCGCCGCCTCCGCCGTGCGCGGCCCGTGCTCCTTCCCGACTGTGTGCACGAACACACCGGAAACCACCACGTCGAAGTAGTTGTCCCCGAACGGCAGCCGCCTCGCATCACCCTCTCGGCACGTGACGTACTCCCCGACGCCCTCCATCTTCGCCGTTCGGAGGGTCGAGAGTGTCGTCCGTTTGCTTCGGTCCAAACCCACGACCCGACCCGAACTCCCCTCCTGGTAAGAATATTAAATCGAATTTCCATTATATTAAGCTTTTGAATTTAATATAATATCAGAAGAAATATCTATTATTTTATTTTGTGTCACATTAATATCCATAATCTTATATTTGAAAACTCATAAATAAAACGGAGTGATAAGAAAATTAAATAGGCAACATTAAATTCACCCTAAACTGTCTATACAACTAACTTTTGAGTCGAGCGGTAATTAATTTTTTACCTTTTTTAGTTGAGTCGCAACGGCGTTGAGGAGAATGCCGCGGCCGCAGCCGAGGTCGAGGGCGTGCTTCACGGTTGACCAATCGGCAACAGCGTTCACCATCCGGAGTGCCATTTCGTAGTGGAGAGGGAGAGAGGAGTATATCATGTTAGCGGCGGCGAAGAAGAGGCAGAAGGCGGAGATAGCGGTGACGCAGCCGGTGAATCCGGCGGCGAAACGAGCGGAACCGCCAGAGAAGAGAAACTCGAAGAAAGAACAGATGGATTCGAAGTAAGAAAGGTAAAAAATGGAAAGAGCAGTGAAGAAAACAGCATGAAGAAGAAGAAACATTATAGTCTGCCATTGATCCACTCCATAGATCGCATAGATCTGAGTCCAATCTCTACTCGAACTGTTCATCATTTTACCCATTTTTTCCTCCAAAACTCACCAAAAACAAAATCGACCTAGAACAGGATTCAGAATTCTGGATTCGAAAACCGCATTTCAGAAACCCTAAATTTCCTCAGATCAGATCAGATCATATCATATCATATCATATCATATCAATCAGAAAATGGAAGAATTGAAGAGCAGCATAGAATCAAGCGGGGAAGAAGAAATCGACGCGGTTTTGGGTTAAATNGGGGGGGGGGGGGGGGGGGTTGGATTTTGGGATGTGCCAGTTTGGGAGTGAGTGAGTCTTAAAGTGGTGAGGGTGACTGGTGACTGGCTTAGCCGGTGAGAGGGGAATTTAAATTTGGAAACTGAAGGAGTTTGTTGGTGCATGGGGACAAAATTAATTAAAATTTAAAAAAAAATGTAAATTTCGGTTCGAATTTTAATGTAAAACAATTCTGATCGGACGGCACGCAAATTTTGGTATTTGTTTTTTCTATTAAGTCAATTTGTTTTTTTTATTTTTATTTTTGTAAATTGTTCTCCAACCAACCTTTAAAAAAAGAAAAAAAAATGAATAATTCATATAATAATCTAATACTTATCTCTCTCTTTTCTTTTCTTTTAATATTAGTTTTTTTTTTTTTTTTTTTTTGTAAACCTATGAAAATCTCTTTTTAATATACGTGTTTTAAAATTATAAAACTGACAATTATATATAACAGGTCAAAAAAGACAATATCTACTGACACCTCAAAAGAAACTGGATTGTGAAATCTTATATCACTTAGAATGGTGTAGAAACCTTTCAATAGTAAACATTTTTTTTAGGAGAAGTCAAATAAGACAATATCTGCTAAACCGTAGCCTTTCAGCCTTACATCCACGAAATTAAAAATTGTTTAATTAAAAAAAAGTTATAATAAAATTAATGTAATGAAATTTGAGAAATCAAAATCAATTTCATTGTACAACACAAATAATGCACATAATTGCTTAGATTACAAGATTTTGAAAAAAAAAAAAAAAAACAATCCGACAATGATTTTTTTATTTTTACTCTTTTTTTCAAATTTAATTAGGTATGATGTTTTAAAAATGATAATTATTAGATCTTGACAATTAGACTTGAATTTGTATTTAATATTTCATGTAATAAAATCTTAAATTAATTTACGGACATTTGTTCATTAGGTAAATAAATAAAAGAGGTGCATTTTAGGACTGATTTCATACCTACAAAATTCAGTAAAATAATAATTTAACAAACCTAAAATATAGAATTAAAACCTTATTTCATATATTTTTAAAATATATATCTTTTAGTTGAATAAATATATCTTAATTAATAATTATATTTAAAATAGTAAATAAATACTACGTTTATTCAAATATCTTACTTACTTTAAATCCCTCTCTGTTAAATAATATTTACAAATTTTATGAAAAGGAAGTGTTTAAGCGCAAATCATGGGGAGGCCTCATGTGGTGGAGTTTTTATTTTATTTTATTTTATTTTATTTTATTTTATAAATTAATTTATTGGTTATTTAAATAATTTTTAACTCTAATTTCATTTGCATGCCTTACCTTATTACTCCTTTGTCATCATTCTCCAAGTCAAATGTTTCTTTTTCTTTTGTTTTTTTGCTTCTTTAAGCAATCCTTTTCACCATTATACCCCTCACTTAGTTTTCAGGGTTATTTTCGTAATTTCATTGTTCCACCGATTATTCATGTCGTTCTTTTTATTTCTTGGTCTCGAGTTTAGCTTCTACCTGAATCTTTTAATTTTGAACTTTTTGTTCGAGAGCTCCAAATAAAACGTCTTTCTACTTGTTTTTCAATCAATTAATTTTAAATTTGAAATATGTTTGTTGACATTTAAAGAATATCTCTATTCCATTCCATTTGCTTAGAGGGTAACTGTAACCAGGTTGCTTTAGATTAATTTATACCCAAATTAGTAATTAATCAATGGTTTGAAATTAAATGGATTCATTTTTATTTTATTTTAAGAAGAAAAACTTGTTTATATTCTTAAATTTTGAGATGCGTAAAATTATATTATTTAAAACCAGGGGTTAAATTGATATAATTATAATTTTACAAAAAAAAAAAATTAAAATTAAAACTTGGTTAGTTTAAATTTAACTGATCTTTATATGGTAATGGAAGTGTTTCTCACCAATAAAATAAATTTAAGAAAAGTTATTGAATTTATCTAATTTCTATTTATCAATGTTTTATTTTTTAAAATGAACTGATATATTACATATGATGCCATATAATACCTAAGCTTTCAAATTTTTGTGTAATGGGCTATTAAATATATATATATATATATATATATTTATTTATTTATTTATTGAATAAGTTAAAAAAACACCTGTTAAATATTAGAGGTGAGTGTACACGAATTGAATTGGATCCAGTTAGAAAATCTTTTACACTAACCTAAAATTTTAAATTGGCTAGATGGGTGACTTGAGCAACCCAATATAGTTTTTCGGTTGGATTTTTGTTGGGTTATTTTTTCTTAAATTATTTTTAAAAAAATCATGTATACCCACTTAGATTAATAATTAAAATCTCATAAAACTCAAATATCTAATCTCTACAAGTCATAACGTATCACTGCCGTCAAATATTTTTAATATTTGTAATAATCTTAAAAGCATGGTATAGTTGAATAAGATTGTACCTCTATTTTCAAGTTAACCGGGTTAAGTTAATAAAAAAAAAAAAAAAAAATTAAACTCACAAATGAAATGAAATATTTTTTGGAGTTGTCGAATACAAAATTTAAAATACAAATTAAAAATTTTAATAAGTAAAAGTTTTAAAATGAGGTGATTTATAGTTTTTTTTTTTTTTTTAAAAAAAAAGAAAAATAGAATGAATAAAGAAGAAATGGAATACAGCAGGGAGGTTGAAAGAAGGAAAGTATTTGTTTACACGAACAACGTGTGGGTCCCAGTCTTAGTAGCATTGGTCAAAGCAAAGAGAAAGAAAGTGGGCCCGCAAAATTCGGGAAAGCGACCAACCGGATCCTTCCGGTTCTATCCTTTTGTGAACCCATTAAAAAAACACCGACTCCCCACGTCCCCCCCTTTTTTTTTTTTTTTAACTTTAAATTTTAAATTAAACTTTGATCCTCCAAAGAATAATAATAATAATAATAATAAGCTTGAATTTTAATAAAATAGGTTACAAACTTATGTATTTATGAACTAGATCAAAATCATTTTGAGTCGCGTTGGGACTAAGTTATATTTATTTGTAGCTAATATCAAATTTGCATAAAGTACCTAAGAATGAAGAATTTTGTAAATTAAAATTTTTCCATTTCTACTATCGAGTAGAGTTATAGATATAAACCGTTTTGATTTTCTTTTTTTATTTTAGTTCATCGCTTTTGCCATAAGAAATTCAAACCTATGATATTTGCATATTAATTACTGAGTTCATGGGCTCTTTGCTTCTCAAATTAGATTTTGTTGGTTACATTAGTGGGTTAAAAAATAATTTTTTATTATTTATTATATTTTTAAAACTAAATTAATAAAAATATATATATTTTTTTTTATAAAGGATAGTGAATTAATTCCCAAACTTATTTTAAAAATTTTATAGGTATTTTTTAAACAAATTATTAGTGATTAGAATGTTGTAAACAGGACGTGTATGTTATTGTAAAGTACGTGGGATTATGCGTAATCATGATTATGATAAATAATCAACGGCCATTATTACTTATTTGGGCTGTATAAACTAGCATGAAAATAATAATATTTATTATTATTTTTTTTTAAAAAAATTATTTTGTTTTGTTATATTAATAACTAAAATCTCATAAAATTTAAATATTCTTAATTTTTCTAGAGGTAATGTAGGGTAAGGTAAGGTTGGGTTCTAACCCTAGAGCTAGTCAACTTGACCCGATAAAAAAATTAATAATATTAATAAAAAGATAATACACAAACCGAACCAAATTTTTTGGTTTTCAAAAAATTGAACCCAGCTCAAACGAAAAAAGAAAAACCCAACCCAACCCAATCTTTGTAGTTTTGGTTGGACAGATTATCGAGTCACATAGTCACATATGAATACCCCTAATAAATATTTAGGTACCATGTATATGACAATATCATTCCTTTTTATTTATTCCCAAAAAAAGACCGTACAATTATCCGAATAAAGTATCGAACCATAAAACGATATTGAATTTGTCTTGTCCAAACAAACTTTATAGATTCAAATAAAAAAAACAAGTCAAATCAATCCATGAAGAAAACACCCATCTTTCAACCAAAAAGAATAAAAAAAAGCCTCTTATTAAATGCAGAAACGAGTCAGTAGGCCATAGTGCAGCAGTTCAAAACTATGAACTAAGATGAACATTACTATGAAAGGACTAAATTTGACAAAGTTTAAAGTGCAGATAAGGAGCAAATCCGTGTTCTATCAGTGGGTTTTGCAGCTAACAAAGTCAACAAAGCCATTAAAATTTTCACTACACCCAACTAGATCTACCTAACCCATAAAAGATTATACACCCAATACCATACTTATTTAAATAATCTTTACTTTTCAAGCTTACCCACATCCCTTTTTTTTGAATTATTGTTGTCTTACCAGTCATTTGATTATAATAAGCCACGGTTAAATTGATACCAAACCGTTCTTTTATAAGAGTGTAGAAACCTCTCCCTAGCAAACGTGTTCTAAAAATCTTGAAGGGAAGCTCGAAAGAAAAAATCCAAAGAGGACAATATCTATTAGGAGTGGACTTGGGCTGTTACAAGTGGTATCAGAGTCACACACCGAGCGGTGGGCCAACGAGTTTGGACCGAGCACCAAAGGGAAGTGGATTATAAGATCCCACATCGATTGAAGGTGGGAACGAAACATTCTTTATAAGGGTGTGAAAACCTCTCCCTAGAAAACACGTTTTAAAAACCTTGAGGGAAATCCGGAAAAGAAAAGCTCAAAAAGGACAACATCTACTAGCAAACACGATTCGAAATGCAAGATGAGGCTGCGGAATATTTGGCTGCTGGTATGGGTTGAAAAGGATGGAGCAGATAAGGCTAGGAAGATAAAAACAAGAGGAATAATGTTGTTTTAACTTGTATGATTGTTTGGAAAGATCCACCAAAAAGTTTGAAGTTTTTAAATGAAAAAACATGTGTTTGTTTAGATGAGAATCTTTCTGATACATATCCAAAGCATTCTGCTTTGTTTCTATGTGTATTAGATCAAGCAAACAAATGGGTATACATGGATTACATCAAAACAGATCTGTTCTATTTGATCACATTGCAGCCAACCCATCAAAAGATATAAACAAAGTTTGTATAATATGGATATATGTGATAACATTGTGATCAGATGAATCAGTTTGGGTAGAAATAAGTACCTAATGGCTGTGACGACCCTTTTGATCACACACGCTACTCCGTTAGACTCGGATCATGTGTAGGAAAAGCGTTTTATAGACTGGAAGAATCCCAACTGGCATAGACTGCTCCAATGATTTTCTCATGTAAGATTGGCCCCGAGCAAACTATTATGCCCCGATCGAGACCTTCTAAGTAAACTCCCCTCGAGAAATCCAAGGGACGACCTCCAGCATCAGTCACCACACCTCCTGCTGCTTCTACTATGATAACACCAGCAGCATGGTCCCATATCTTTTCCCGGTATCCAGTCCTTGCAAACTTCATAAAAATCTCGGCGTCACCTCGAGCTATGGCAGCATACTTTACCATGCTATAGACTCGCAATGGCTGCTCCCTGCCACACAAGTATAAGCATGAAGGGAAGTTTTACAGCAGGCCTGTGATCATCTTAATTCTTATAGCAGTGTTGGGAGTCTAAAATCAACTGATTAGTGACAAGCATAAGAATCCATTTTGAAGTAAAGCTTTCCACATGTTGTGCATAGAAGCATCAAGTTTAATATGTATAAACTGCTTAAACATATCAAAAGTTTCCTTCAAAAGTGCTCATTGATAAAAAGAATTCATTAACATAACCAAAGTTTTGGCAAAGTTCTTGTTGTTCTGTAACTAATATCTGTTCTGAAGTTGATTTTTTTTAAGTATCTATAAAACAACTCATGCCCACCGCCAGCAGATATTGTTCTCTTTAGGCTTAGTTCAAAGTTTTTAAAACGCGTCTACGAGGGAGAGATTTCCACACCCTTATAAAGAATGCTTCGTTCTTCTCTCCAACCGATGTGGGATCTCAAAATCCACCCCCTTTGGAGCCCAGCGTCCTTGCTGACACTCGTTCCCCTCTCCAATCGATGTGGGATCTTACAATCGACCCCCCTTCAAAGCTCAGTGTCCTTACTGGCACACCGCCTTGTGTCTAGCTTTTATACCATTTGTAACAGCCCAAGCCCATCACTAGCAAATATTGTCCTCTTTAAGCTTCTTCTTTCAGGCTTCCTCTCAAGGTTTTTAAAACGCGTCTGCTAGGGAGAGGTTTCCACACCTTTATAAAGAATGGTAATTAATGTTGTTGAATGTTTTTTCCCTAAAGGGTAAGGGAAATGGGCGAGTACTTTTTTTCGTTCTCCTCCCCAATCGAGGTGGGATCTCACACTCTAAACCAAAAAAGTGAATATGAAGATGCTGTTTCTTGTTGCATACCAATGAACATTTGATGCTTAAAAATTCCCTTTAAATTATAAACTCAACAAAAAACGTAATATCGAAAGCGCACCTCAGCCCTACACTGTGAGCCAGTCCAGCAGTGAACGAGTGGTTCGAGTTCTGCTTCTCCACAGGTTCACAGAAAGTTGCAAGAGCTGGGTCATCAATGGAAGAAACCTGAATAAGGCTAGCTGAGTTTGGCCATTCAAGCTTCTTATTGCCATGGACTAATGGCTGCATCCATGCCCCACTGCAGTTTCTCTTTGCATATATAACACAACCTTTTTCCAAGGAGTCAGAACATGGTTGTGCTAACTTCGGTGATGCTGCCTTATACTGATGATGAAAACTTTCCTTCTTCAATGGATAATTAGGACATCCAAGAACTCCCATTACTACTTTACCATTTTCAATCAAGGCCAAGGCAACAGCATATTGATCGCCTCGGACGAAGCCTAACGTGCCATCAACAGGGTCGAGCACCCAATGTCTTCCAGTCGGGCCTCCAGTTGAATTGCACCGGCTTATAGCCTCGAGAATTTCAGAAGTTTTAAGGGCTCTAACTGGACTTTGAAGACCATATTTTGGTGCTTCAGCTAAGCATTCGTTTACGGTTTTTACCACAGCTGACAACAGACTGCTCGAATCTGGCTTCAAAAGAGTTTGTACATCTTCTTCAGCAACAATGGATACATTTTGACTGCCAAAGTATTCAGAAAGAATCCAGCTAACAATTGCTTGTACACTCCAATCTGTTCATCAAGTAACCGACCATAGGAAAAAATAATTAATAGAACAAAGGATCAATCTATAAACAGAGTAAAAAATAAGGCCTCAACCAAGGCACTCAAACTGATGCTGCAGATAAGCATTTGACAGATTCTTTTAATGTAGAGTCCAAAGGTATAGAATACTTGTTTGAATGATCAAAAGAGTGATTGTTCTATAAAACAAATCCTACATGTCAAATACCACAAAAACGTTTTTAAATGAGAATGTGAGATCTCACATTGGGAAGGAGAACAAAGAATTCTTTATAAGGGTGTAGAAACCTCCTCCTAGTAGACGTGTTTTAAAAACCTTGAGCGGAAGCCCGAAAGAGAAAGCCTAAAGAGGACAATATTTGTAAGCGGTGGGTTTGGGCCGCTACAAATGGTATTAGAGCCAAACACCGGGCGATGTATCAGCGAGGAGGCTGAGCCCCGAAGGATGGGCATGAGGCAGTGTGCCAGCAAGAACGCTGGGCCCCGAAGGGGAGTGGATTGAGGGGACCCACATCAATTGGAGAAGGCAACGAGTGCCAACAAGGATGCTGGGGGGTGGATTGTGAGGTCCCATGTCAGTTGGGGAGGAGAACGAAACATTATTTATAAAGGTGTGAAAACTTCCTCTAGCGGACAATATCTTTATAAGGGAAGGAAAGCAAAGAGGACAATATCTGCTAACGATAGGCTTGGGCCGTCACAGAAAGAGTCGAAAAGAATGATTACAGTTATTTTAAGCCCAAGAAGTGTTAAATGCATAAAATAAAGAAGCATTCAGCCAATGCTATGAAAATCAGCCTTCTATAATACCAATATACTCGATCAAGTTCCAACGCCATTGAAACTTGTGGAGCTTGCACTGTTCATAATTCCTATACATCATAACTGCATATAATATTTATCAACCACCTCTCCTGTTTCCATTTTCCTTAACAGTACTCGATATCAATGCATCACCAAATCATGCAACAGCATGATAGATATGGCATCACTTTCAATGGAAGAACATAAGTAAAGTGTGTCATCTTCCTCAAAATACATCAACAAGGAAGAACATATGCAACTTATAAAGGATATATTGTAATGACCTAATCCCTCCCTTAGCATATATTGTACTCTTTGGGTTTTCCTTTTTGGGCTTCCCTCAAAGTTTTTAAAATGCGTCTGCTAGGAAGAGGTTTCCCTACCCTTATAAAGAATGTTTCGTTCTCCTCCTAACCGATGTGAGATCTCACAATCCACCCCCTTCAGGACCTAGCATCCTCATTGGCACTCGTTCCCTTCTCTAATCGACGTGGAACTCCCCCAGTCCACCTCCTTTGGGACCCAGTGTTCTTATTGGCACACCGCCTCGTGTCCAGGCTTGGGCCGTTACATATACCGTCCAGATGATAACAGGAAGGAGTTGATGAATGAAGAAAGAAAGATAACAAAAAGAAGAAGGATCTTCGAGGGCAACCATGTCCTTTTACTGCAAAAACAAACTACAGAGCACAAAAAGTTCTCAAATAGCTTCCAGTCCAATAAAATTACAGGTTCTTTGGACAATGTGAACAATCACGAAACAATGGCTACATTGCCTCTACTATATCTTATTGATCTCAACAAGCATTGAATACATTACATATTCAAAACAAGCACAAGAACATACAGCATGCAATACCCACTTCAAATTTGCAACCAATAAACAAAAGCAAAACACAATCAAGGGTCACATTCAGCACAAAACCCATCAAGAACAACGTACAAACTTCATTAAAAAAACATAAAAAGAAGAAGATCAATAAAAGAACACCAGCAATTGTCACCGGAGAATCATCATCCTTGGCCTTAACCAGGTCATTGCCGACCAAAAGCAAACCCTCTTGAACTCTACGGCAAAGAGCACACGCCAAATGAACAACTCGAACCGCCATATCTAATTCCTTCGAGTACTCCCCGTTCTCCATTGCCAAATCCCCACAAGTTTTCCACAAAACCCAGGTGTTAAAATAGCGATTCTTGAAAAACCCAACAAAATTAGAAGCGGTTCATTACAAAGATTGAAGAAGATGAGGCGTTTCGATGATGATTCATCGGTTTTGTAGTTGAATGGCATGTAATGGAATTAGTTATGGAGGAGGCTAATTTGGGTTACGGGAATGGAAAAGGTTTTTGGCAGATGGAAGCCAATTAGAGAGGAGAGCATGATTTCTTGTGCATTTTTGGGTTGCTCGCAAAAACCACGTGTAAGTTTCCCGTGCGTATGAAATGGAAAGTTTTGGGTCTCAATTTTTTTTCATTTTTTCGTTCGATTATCTGTTCTTCTAAGTTCCTTTTGGGGCTCCAATTTGAAAGAAAAGATTTGAACGGTGAATTAAATGTTAATGAAGGTTGGGGTGAGTCTCAATATTAGGGAATGATTATGGGTTTATAGGTAAAAAAATACATCAAATACATCTTCCAGCTCTATTGGAAAAACTCAAAGCAAAATCATGTTCAAGGTGGACAATATCGTACCATTGTGGAGATTAATGATTCTTAACATGATATTAGAGTCATGCTCTAAACTTAGTAAAATGACACATTTTTACTTGTTATTACTACGATTATAGGGGAGCATGCATGACGCACAACTGTTGAGAGGTCGATCATAGGGTAGGGCTCAACCTTGTCGAATCTGAGGACATGCAATTGGGTTTCGACCCAATTGTTTCACTTACTCTTTGATCTGTATCTTAATCCTTTTGAGTTGACTCGATTTTAGCTGGTTTGAATTTGGAGTCCTAATATAAATTTATAGGATACTTCTTTAAATTCGGTTATTGTGGGGGAATTAGGGCACAAATCAAAATTTACCATATTTAATTGAGTGGGTAGTTGCACTTTATGGAGAATAAAGAATATAATAATTTATATTTTAATGTCTTGTAACAAGTTGATTAAACAATATTTAATATTGAGTGGGTATAGTTTAGGTTTATGTATTAAAGAAATATTTATATTCTTAGATTTCAATAATTTAATTATTTCAAATATTTATAGAGTAACGACACATCATGTTAAATATTTTTAATCTTTTCAAATTATGACTATATTTTCGAATTGATCGGACCAAGAAAATAAAAAAAATATCAATCCTCAAACCGAAACAAATTTTTATATTTTAAAAAAATTAATCCTAACTTTTATGGTTTAAATAGAATAATGTAGGCGGAGTTATATAATAAGAGAATCATAAATGAAAAATAAATAAATAAATAAATATTTTAGATAACTTTTTAATCTAAAGAAATGGTTTTGGTGGGCCTTCATAGGCCCATTTTGAAGGACCATCTGGGCTTAAAAATCGGGCAGATCCATGGTCCGGGCCCAGTCTGTCTACCGCTTGCCCGAACATTTTAATAAAATCCGAGAAAAAATATAAAGAAAAAGAAAACTATAGAGGTGAAAAAAAACGAATCCCAATACAATGCTGCTTCTAAAACGGTGCCGTATCACACAGGCTTTTTTTATTTAATTTAATTTATGAAATAAATTGGGAGCTAATGACGTCACCCACGTGACTCTGCATTTTCTTTTTTGGGATCGTTGCCAGCCTAGCAGTGCTTGCTGGTGCACCAAATTCCTATTTTCTTTTTACGATTTTATTTTTAAAAATGCCCTGGGTTATTTTTCTCAACCACACAATTTAATATATATATATATATATATATATATATCTAGATCCCTTTAATATGTCTTTATTCTAGGAAGCCATTCCTCTCAAGCCAAGCAGAAATTCTTCTCTTAAAGTTGATAATGTATTTGATGGGATGGGTTCAACCTAACACATTTGCACGTTATCTGATCGAGAGATAAAATTAACGAGTACTCGAAGATTGAATATCAAGAATCGAACCAAAATAACAAAAAAAAATTAGTAGAGGTTATTGTTTGGGTTAAAAACATTGATGAAAGAAGAACATACACCCATTTATGCTCTAGCTATTCAATTCAGTTCACGTGTACATGGAATCAAGCAATACATGGAATCAGCAAGACGTACAACCAGATCACTCATCAAGAAAACCCGCGAAAAAGAAAGACAGAAGGAATAGCAAAAGCTAAGGACTCGCTTACAAAGAAGGGAGATTTTTCCGTGGCGGTCATTCTTGTGCCTCACCTGTCATAACCTAACTACACGGTACGAAATAATTCAAAGTTTAATGAATCAAATTAAAAACATGTTCGTGTGGAATATGTCACCTTGTCTAAAGTAATTAAGATGCCATAAAACGTCATTTTCAATAACAAAAAGAGATTATATATTTTTTTAAAATATATAAAATAAAAAAGAAAGTCAAAGCTTCAAAAAAGTAATACGTCCCATGAATTAACAGCTAACTCAAACATCACATTCACACCTAAATACAGTTGGTCATTTGTTAACAACTCTCATTAATTAATTTATGAATATGTTTAATATTTTCACTTTTTTTAATTACTATTTTATAATATCATGTAACTTAAAAGAAATTGCATTTATTTTTTCTTTTTAAATCTTTGTTAATGTTTTTCTCCGTTTAAAAATTTTAATTAAATATTTTAACATAATAAAATATGAAAAATATTGTTTTCATAAATTTGTAGGAAATTTAAATTTAAAAAAAAAAACAAACTCTAAATCATTACCAATAAAATATGTAATATTTATAAATTGAAAAAATAATTCCAAAGATAAGAGGTTTATTGTTCTTCGGTGATTATGTATTTATAATATTCATATAATAATAATAATAATAATAATAATTTAAGGCGCGTTTTTGGGCGGAACTGACGGCGGAATGCGGCGACGACTAGCCGTTTCCGTTGAAAACATTGCAATCTCCAGTCGAGCTGATTCCAATATTCCCTTTCCATTACTTTTTTGCCCCTAATTTTTTTCTTTCTCAAATGGGTTTTTTCTTTTTTATTTTGAACAAATAACTTAATTAATCAGACAAATTTATTATTTTTATAGGGTTAAAAATGTCCAAATCAATTATATTTTAAAAAATTGAAACCGATCCCACATATCTATCTACGTCATTTAACCAGTCACATCCCTTCCTATAAATTTTTTGTCTTTTGATAAATGACATATCCTTCCTCGTGAAGAGCTCTCCTTGCTCATTATTCATAATTTCCAAACTTAAAAATAATTAAAACAATTTTTCTAAAAAAATGTTTCAATGAAATTCGTATTTATTTACGATAGAAAATTATTTATTTTAGTTTTTATAGTTATTTATTGTTAATTGTTTGATAAATAGATAAATGATATAGGTAGAGTTGTCCATGGGGCGACCATTTCCGATAGAAAATTGGTGGGGATCGAGTTCTCCAAATGAATTTTTTCTCTGTTATTGTTATTATAAAAAAGTAATCATTAATTAAAAAAAAATATATATATATTATTCATTTTCAATATAAATTATTAATTGGTGCTAATTCACGCGCGTTATTAGAAATTGGAGTTGAATCATCTTTTTTGTAAATTATGTATATTGAGACTACTATAATGTAGCTGTCTCTTAATAATGTTACCATAATCTTCATATCATTAATAAATACTCGATATAAAATGAAAGTACATGGGTAGTTTTTCAAATAATTTCTTCGAATTTTATGTAAATATATATAGTTAAACTAAAAATAAAAAGAAATATAAAATTGTTAGTTGAATTAAAAATTTAATTACCAACCAATAGAATTGTTTGTTTAATAGAAAAAATGGTTAAATTAATAATTTATTTTTTAATAGTATTTTAAACTAAAATATATATATATATATATACAATAATTTCTTTCAAAAATATTTTTAAACTTTTAAATATATATATTTAATGCTTTCAGTTTTCAAAATTTTAATTAATACTCTTCGAATATTTTTTAAAAAACTTAAAAAATACCATTTAAGTTTTTTTTTTAGAATTTGAAGAACACTTTTAAACTTATTGAAATATTTTTTAAACAAAATATTGAACATAATACTAAAAATTATAGACTAATTCGACTATCATATGTTTATCTTATAACACATAAGTTATCTTCATTTTTAGTTAAACCGTCCACCTTTATAAAAAAAAAAAAAAAAATTAAATATCGTTCAAATAAAAATATTAAAACATTTCGAAGAAAGATGAATCTCAATCAAGAAAATATAATTTTAAAAAAAAATGAATAATTATCTAATTAAAAAAATTTAATAATAAGATTTGAATAATAGTGGGGAAAATATTGAAAATGAAGTGATAGCGATTTTGGAGTACGTGGCCATGTGCTTCGATACGCTTATTATAAATTTATAAAAAAAATAAATCCAGCTTTTCATTTTCCTTTTTTGTTTAATATATATATATAATTTTCTTTGTTTTTTTAATTATTTAATTTTGAAATTCAGTTGTAAATGTAATGGCTGTCAGGTTGCGTCCAATTAATAAATTAATTATGTTATTACGTAATGATTTTCTTACACGATTGATTGTCACACCTTCTATCCTCCAACGGTCCGTATTTAATTGGTTTTTATTTCTTTTTTTTTTTATCTATCAAATTACAAATTTAATCATTAAATATATATATATATATATATATATATATATATATATATATATATATATATATTTTATCGTTAATGCTCAACTTTTAATATTAGTAAATTCATAAATTTTAAAAAATGTTGACAAATTATTAAGAAAAAAGTTTAATTAAAATTTATGAGTGTTAGTAGGTCGGGTTGAGTTTAGTCAGGTTGAGTTGGTCAGTCATTTATTCGAATTAAAAGAAAGTTTGCTTTTTAAATATTTAATTAAAATTCGAGCTCAATTTTAATATTTATTTTGAATATTTACCATCTAAATAATTTTAAATTATTTTCAGAGGGTTGAATAATAAATAATAATACATTTAAATAAAAAAAAAATATTTTAAATTTTTTTTTACAGGTTATTAAAAAAGAAAAAAAAAAGGTCGGAATCTAGTATGAGAATGGATTCTCTATCCCCACCTAATGAATAAAATTCATTTATTCATATATTCTTATTCTTCCCTCTCGTTTTAAAGTGATTTCGATACTTTTCTCACGTAAAAATTTGACATGTTTGAAATTTTTTTTTAGCATTTATTATTTAATTTTTCACCAAAAAAAAATTGCATATTAAGTTGTAGTTTAATTTATTGAATATATATAAACTTAACG